TTTATATTAAAAAACCTAGGTAAAAAAACAAAGAAAGCCTTCTATAGAGGGGAAGAAGAAGGAAGTAAGTTAATAATCTTTAAAAATTCTAAAAAATCTAAAAGACAGCACTTTAGATTTTTTAGAATTTTTAAAGATTATTAACTTACTTCCTTCTTCTTCCCCTCTATAGAAGGCTTTCTTTGTTTTTTTACCTAGGTTTTTTAATATAAATTTTATATATAAAAAATATATATATGACCTATATGTGTATGTATATCCCCTTTTTTCCATATATATGTATATATGACTTTGTGTGTATATATATATATATATACACATTTTCTTCTTCTTGTGGAATTATATTAAGACGCTAACAAGAAGTATTTATGTGCTATCTATGTGCTATTATTATTATTACTACTATCTACTGCTGTTTTATGAATCATTTGGATGAGTTATCTTTTAATTAGAAGATCAGCTTTATGCTATACTTGTTTTTCTTGTTTTTCTTGTTGTTTTACATGTCATGGACTTTCTAAATATAGACATTTATAAGATCTACCCCTAATTAGTTTATGGGGAGTTTCTATAATGATTGACACAAACCATGCCCATGTATGGGCTTTAAAAGGCAGGACTAGCTACATCAGGATGTGATCTGAGGAAGCCGATTGGGCGAAACGCGTCATCACGTCGATTACGTCATCACGTGACCGGACGAAACTCCGAGTTCCAGGAAGTGAAGCCTACAATACCGAAAATCACCAGGGACTGGTAGATATATACTATACAGTACTGGCAAAAGGTTATTTGGCTGCTATATGAAAACGGAGAGTATGGATTCTACTTATTTTCAATAAAGCTGTTTTTAATTTTGGAAGCTGGTGTCCTGCCTATTTACACCAACATTGAAGTCCTGGTTTTTGGATTTAAAGCTGGATCAGTTAGAGCAGGCTTTTACTGCTCTCCTTTTGTGAGTGATATTCCTAATTCTATTTGCTGGTTTTTATATTTATGTAAAACAATATTATACTATGTTTCTCCATTTTTTTATCTCTTTTTACATATGTTCTTATGTGATTTGGAGAATTTAAGGAGACATATTTCCCTTGTAAGTTATTTGTTTTGGATATTGAATTTTTACACTATCACATTTGCATTTTGCACTTATGTCACATTGTATGTGATTATATACACACTGTGTTTTTGCGCAAAATATTTGCACATATTGCACATTTGCACTTTTTAACATTTAAAGATACAGCGCACCTATTTTTATTGTTTGGATTTTATGTATGGTGTTTTATGAGCTTGTACACTTTTAGGTGCTGCTACACTTTTATTATCTTTATATTTTATATTAGCACTTTCAGCGCCTTTATTGCTTGTTTGTTTTTTTAGGGACCTACTTGTGTATAAGGGAGGATAGATAGGTGGGAGCAGCATTATGTAGAGATTTGAAAGCAAGAACCAGAATTTTAAATTGAGCTCTATATCTTACAGGAATCCAATGTAGGGACTGTCAGAAGGGTGAGGAGTGAGAAGTGGATTACAGTAGTCAAGGCGAGAAAGGACAGTGGAATGGACCAGCACCTTAGTCGCATCTGGCATTAAGTAGGGTCGGATGCGCACAATGTTTTTGAGATGGAAACAACAGGATTTGGCGATAGACTGAACATGAGGCTTGAAGGAGAGGTCGGAGTAAAAGAGAACACCTAGGCAGCGAGGGAGAGGTGATGGTAGCGCCGTTGACTGGAGGGAGACAGACATAGTAGTAGCAACACTTGAAGGAGGAAAGACCAGAATTTCAGTTTTCGTCAAGTTGAGTTTAAAGAAGTGGGCAGCCATCCAGTTAGAAATAGCAGAGAGGCAGTCAGACACTAGTCAAGAGGGACGGGGGAAGAGATCAGGCGAGGACAGGTAGATTTGTGTGTCAAGATGATTGTAAAAGTAGTTTTCTAGCAATTACAGATCAATTCTGTGCATTTTTTTCAATGTTGTCAAGCACAGCAAACTGGCAACAGACATCTAATGCAATGGTGGAGAAACTATTACTCTAACCAAACATTTTATGATAAAGTTTAATTAATTTTTTTTTGAGGTTACAGTAACAATTTAAGGTATTGGCTTAAAAAGCTGATATGTTATATACCCAGTAAAGTATCATTAAATGGGAAGTAGGGTATAGTACTGCACAGCGTCACAGTATTTTTATGTACTGGTATTATTAGGTTTACAATTAAGCTTTTTTTTTTATTAATGAAAATCTATAATTACAGCGGACTCACTCTTCAAGTCCAGGGCGCCACCTTACCTAAAGTGGTTAAACAGTTTAAGAAGATAGTGATCATCCGCTCTGTCCCCTAGTTTCAATGAGGTACATACCTTTTTCACACTGTTTTGTGAATGGGAAGGAAATTATAAACATGCAAAAAGATATTTATATTTCTAACATGAGAGTGCTCCTTTAAATGGCGATGCATGCAAACATGCCAATGTCTTCCAACATTTGCACAGATTGAAGAAAAAAAAACACCACCACCAAAACAAAAAAACTAATAAGCGAACTTGAGTACAGAACAGAGATAGGTCCCTTCGATAGTCTCTTGGAAAGAACAAGGATTTAAATAAAAAAAATAATATGTCTTCATGTACTCGGTAACCAGAAAAGGGAACATATTTGGAAAAATAAATAAATAAAAAGAACAAAATTGATGGTTGTATTTATTTTATTGACTTTACAGTACGGTCACTACATTACATTCAAGAAAGTAGCCAAGCTATTTAATAATAATATGCAGTTGTGCTGCGATGTTACAGACTGCTTGCAGGTGACGTGGGCTTAAAACCACAACATCCAAAATACATTTCAGGGACTCATATTTAATTCATAGTAAAACATAATTTTACCTATTCTATACATTTACTATAGAGCTTCTTCATTAATACCATGACCCACACTGTTCAAAGCAATGTTCTACATTTTCAAACTCAGGGGCAAAATGTAGAATTTGGAGCAGTCACTATGAAATCCAACAAAACACTTCTATGGATTGATCTAATCTAAATTTAACTCTTGGCCCCAGAATTGCTCCAAATGTACCTAAGAAAATGTGGTCTCAGATATTAAAGAAACACTCCAAAGAAGCACCATAACCACTGTCACACTGTAGTGGTTCTAGTGTCATGAGTGCCCTAGCCCACCTTCATGTAGTAAAACGAAGTAACTTTTTTTTAATAGACTTTATACTAGGTTAATCAGTTAAGAAATCCTATCATGGAATTGCTTAGGGGAATGTAGACCCTTATGTATGACACCCTACCCCACCCCCCCAAAATTCCTGATAGACTTGGGGAATTGAACAAAAAATTCTAAGCATCCTCCCTAATCCTAGGGGATACTCCAACACTAACCTCCCCCGACCTTACAATACCAGGCTCTCTTTTTTTCCCCTATAGCAGGTAAATTAAGTTACATTGGCTTAGCTATTTTGAAATGACCCCAATGCAGCAATTAAATCATTTTGAAAAGTAGCAATGATCCATTTGTCTCAATTCAGTTACCATTTGGTTGTTAGTGAATACATGGTTAGTGAACCATGGAGGAATTTTTAACAACTGAATGAAAGGGAAATGAGCCAAATGTAATTAACCAGTACTGAAAAACAAAATTTGGCATTTAGTGAATAGATTCAATTGGTCATGATGACTATGCAGGTGGACGTTTGTGTTGCAATGAGGAGTCTGTTTAATGATAAAGAATTAAATTAAAACAAAACAAAACAAAACCAAAAGAGTCAGTATTAAAGGACCACTATAGTGCCAGGAAAACATTCGTTTTCCTGGCACAATAGTGCCCTGAGGGTGCCCCCACCCTCAGGGACCCCCTCCCGCCCGGCTCTGGAAGGGGGAAAGGAGTTAAAGCTTACCTTTTTCCAGCGCTGGGCGGAGAGCTCTCCTCCTCCCCGTCGGCTGAATGCGCACGCATTCAGCCGGTCACATAGGAAAGCATTCATAATGCTTTCCTATGGACACTGGCGTGCTCTCACTGTGAAAATCACAGTGAGAAGCACGCAAGCGCCTCTAGTGGCTGTCAATGAGACAGCCACTAGAGGAAATAGGGGAAGGCTTAACTCATTCATAAACATAGCAGTTTCTGTGAAACTGCTATGTTTATGAAAAAATGGGTTAACCCTAGCTGGACCTGGCACCCAGACCACTTCATTAAGCTGAAGTGGTCTGGGTGCCTAGAGTGGTCCTTTAAAAAAATTAAAAAGGATTAGAATGCATACATTTTAAGTAGTGTTCCTGTATGGTAATACAATGTTGCTTCATGCAGCATTATGACACTTTGGAATAACATTGTATCATATCTAATTGACAGGGAATTGAAACATGTTTAAAGGAGCACATGTATTCCCAACACTATAGTTTTGAATTACCTATTCAGGGAGAAATAAGGTGTTTACTTACATTTGCTCCCTAAAACTCCATGGCTAAGATAATTGATCTTGATTATCTCAGCCAATCCAATGCTGCACCAAATCAATACATCTCTACAGGAACAGTAAGCATCTCCACGCATGGCGTGCAGCACTGTACTAGGAAGTATCTCTAGTGGCCGTCTGAGTGACAGCCACTAGATTAGTTACTAATCAGCAATGTTAAAAAAAATAAAAAAAATAAAAATAAAATAATTCTCTGAAAAGGCAGAGGTTACATTGAAAAGCCTGTATGGACATGCTGTAGACACCAGAACCACTACATTAAGCTTTAAACGTAGTGCTATATTCGCAAACTAAAGTAAAATAAAAATAGTTTTGTTAAAGAAATGTTTACTTTATTTCAGAATCTATTTCCATAGACATGTTACTCTTAAAGAAACAATCCTGCATTCCTAATGCATAATGAATCCTTGTATATATTTACTCCCCAGCCTTTTACCTTTTTTTTCCTCTCTCTATAGCGGAGACTCGATGGGTGCTGCTGCTCAGAGAAGCATTGGGGAATGTACATGCCCCACGCACTTATCCAAATGCTTCTATGAGCTGAATTTGGTCACATGACCGTTTTACTCAGCTGTGGAAGAGAAAGTGCCACTAGTGCCTGTCATGAACTAGAGGTGTGTTGAAATTATGTGAACTGGGTAATTTTACTGGTCCTTTAACACTTTTTTCGTGACCGCAAAACACAGGATTACTAGACTTCCTTTCTTGTTAAGAATATTTAGGAAACCTAATCTCGTTACAAGTATTAAGATTTTTTTTTTGCTTTCTTTTTGATCAACAGCAAAAACATATGGGAGGAAGGCTGAACTTATGGACAAAAGTCTCTTTTCAGCTATGTAACTATGTAATTACATTGCTCCTTCTGCTCTGCAGTACATTGTTTACAAGCATTAACCTACTTTATGGTTTAAAAACCACTTTCCTTTATGGATAAGTTGGTTTCTAAAACAGAGTATAAACTATTAACAATGCATCCATTCTACATGACCAATACAGTGCTTAATATTTTATACTACAATCCAAAAATTATAGAATAAAAATAAAAAATGCACCACCACCAAGCTGTAGGCTTAGCATTCATGTCTAATTTTACAAGATATAGGGCAGCAGACCAAGTTAATACTACGGTAATTAATAAATACAAATTATCCCGAATTCATGCTGCAACTGTCGAATATGACAGTGTATGCTGTTGCTCAAATTTCCTATAACCAGGACAAAAGTGCACTCCCCACTCTGCTATTGCAAATATATTGCAGTATTAAAAAAACAAAACGACACAATTCCGAAATTATGCTGTGATGCACAGCAAATGTCAAAGTTATAGGAAGACGAAAAAGAAAACTAATAAATAAAGTTTAGATTCAATAGGATAAATTTGCCTATATATAAATGCCGGTATACGTGAATGTAAATAGATTTTATGCTAAGATGGTTTAAAATGTTGATCATGAACAAAAATGGCTCACAAAAATACAGTATGAGTACTCCAGAATAAAATGGTCTAGAACTATGATCTGTGACATTTTGTGTAACTTTTCTTCACCAATTTAACGTCCACAAACCTGAATAATTCACTGATCAAAGTTTTGTTTTTTTAATGATACAATGTTTGGAATACAGATATAATGCACTAGAGCAAGATCATTTTGTTTTGGTTTAGACGTCTGGTTTTATGGTATATTTAGCACTAAAATATGCTTGCATACAGTGACAGAAAACAAACCAACTGAGATCATGACAGGTCCTTTAATGTGTGTATATTAGAGATCTATACATTTGTGAAAGACCAGCCTGTGCTGCAACTGCTAGCTTTCTCAGTCGGTCATCTCTGTGTAGTATGTGCATTTTGAGATTACATCACAGTGTAGTGCTCCTACATTAGTAAAATTTGATAGGCACATTTTTTATGTCATTCTGCTTGTATCCAATAAAAAGCAGCTTACAGTCACTGACGCATGCCAGTCTTACAGAAGAAAAGCAGAGAGCTATGTGCTCAGATTTAACCGCCATATATGATGCACATGCACAGTGAGTAAATTACAGGAGACGTGAGGAGATGCATGCTCAACGCATTTAAAAAAAATAAAAATTTGCCTCATAGAAACAGAAGGTCATCAATTCTAAAATATTACACGGTCTGTACTCAAGTTAGGATCATGACTAAGAGCCACAGGTCACAAAAAATGAAAGTGCAATCAGCCTTACTAAGTGGAATATGCAAGCAGTAATGAACAGAAAGGACTCTGCTGGAAAAGTGTTCAAACTGAATGACAAGAGGATTTGTGCTAGAATAAAATAAGTAACAAAAGTTAGAAAGTAATTGTGATAACTATTACAGTAAGTGTTAATACCAGCAGCCTCCAGACTGTACATTGTTATTTTACTCACATAAAACTGCAAATACAAATAGAAAATACACTGCTACACATACAGTACACAATGTGAAGGAAACTGATGGTGCAGTCGGTCAGCTGAAAGTGTAGACATTTTCAGGAGTACTCAAATCAAATTAGCTGAGGATTATTACTAAATGCACTACTGTAGAAAATTAGAACTGAATATAATGCTGAAAAATTTACCTGAAGTGTCTGCTTGCTGCATGTCTAATAGGACGGTAGCTAGAATCATATTTCAGCAAAGAGTTTTCAGAAATACAAAAAGAAAAGATGGTAAAGATAACTTCACTGGTGCTGTATGAATACAGCTGGCGTATTTTTTCCAATTTAAACAGTGAAAAAGCAATTTCTAAACTATAGTTCAAAAACCATCTGGAGACCTCTCTCTTTGCCTTCTTTGGACCAATGCCTCGCCTCTGTTTTTATATGAACTTTTTCTGATGCTGCCAGAGATTACCAGATATATTATTGTATTTTGTTCATTGACTTCAACTAGCAAAATTTTGAGATGACCACATTGCTATCAGCAGCGGGTAGAGCTGGCTGAAGACAGAAAATTACAGTCTCATTTATCGCAGTGGGTTTATGTCCACAGTAATTTTACTCAGCAACTAGACCTTTAAGTTATTCTTTGCTTTTAAAGGGACATGGAAACCATGAATGAATATGTCTGGTAAATAATTGCTGCAAGAACAGTGAAATAATAGATTTTACTTTTAATGTCTTACTGATAAATGTAATTTAATATGTCAACAATACTAAACGCGGACCAAAAGCATAAAAGGACAACTGTTATCAAATGTTCACTTCTCATTTTTTATGTTTATTACATTTAATGAAACCCATATTTTTTTTTTTTTAAATGTATATTGATTTTTTTTGGGATAAAATATCAATTTTGTATCTGACTGAGCAGTCATATAGGTTCAAACTAATGTTATCTGACCACCTGCTTCTGTTTCACATAGAACAATCGCAGCAGGGCAGATATCAGTAGATCCGATAATGGTTGGGCCACCAGTCGGACATAAGATGGCTGCTCAGCAATATAAAAATAAAGAAATACAAAAAAATCAATATGCATAACTGAGAAATAGAACCATTAGGTTTCATTAAATATATTAAAATTTAATAATGATAATATATTCAATATCAATTCCACTATAGCTCTTCTGAGAGTAGAATATTTAAATTTCATATCCTGATTGTATGCCATTTATGGATTATTTTTTTGGAACACATTTCATAACTTGTGTAAAGTTTTTGGAGGGAGCTATGTGCTATTATATTACAAGTCAGCATAGTCTGTTTATAAAAGTAAAGATGTTTGAGTTGTGATGTAGATGGATTCTTATGTAACAGGTTTCATGCATTTGTTTTATCAAATCAACGCTTTTCATGTAATAACGCATTAAGGGCAGAAACAAAAATCAGAGGATGGTTTGGTGAAAAACCTAGATCAAGGGACATGAGCAGTTTTATCTGAATAAAATAACATTGTGGAAATAAGATCAGGCATGTGTAGGTTGTGCAATGTTCTTACCAAGCTAAGCCATTCCTCACACTCCAGGTATTACCGGCATAGATTTGAAATTTTGGAAGGTACACTAGTCATGTCCTAAGCGCTTCAGTGATAAATCATAGTAAACAGACAAGGCAACAGCTTTCTCCACATACCTACTTCTCTCATAGTTTTAGTGCTTTATTAGATCACAGCTGTGCACCGACTTTTAAATATAAGTGCGTTGCTGAATCTCACCTCAAATTTGCCCTCAATCATTGCTGGTTAAGAGCTAGCCTTTCCCATCCCCTTATTAATCCGTGTCCACACAGTTATGATTTCTCTCATAGGGCTGGTGGAACAACGGGGCCAAGGTCAAGCTCAACATGATGACTAAGACACACTGCCTCAGAGCTGGACTCGTTGTCTTCTACAGGCCTCATGGGAGCAGCCAGGTTTCGGAAGTCATGTTTTAGCTTGAAGCTCACAATCACTTTTCCTTTTTCTTGAAGAGGTGTGACCTTGATGAAAACACCTACTTTATTGGCTTTCCGGAAGGCAACAACACTGTTGTGGAGGGAAAGAGAGAGGACAAAAAAATAAGACAAAAACAGGAAATAATTTAAAAAAAAAAAAAAAAAGTATTTAATTAATACTGATGGGAATACAAGGCAGAGGTTTGAGACACAGTTTTATATTAAAAGATTTCTCACAATTATCATCATCAGAAGAAATGCAGCGCAAGCCATTAAACTTTAGATAGAACTGTTGCAGTTGCTACATGGCTAGTATCCTTCAAAATGTAAAGTGGAATAAATACAAATTTATTTGAAGAAGAAAAAAAAATTCTAGCTAGAGAGCATTCCAGTTATTAAATAGGTCACAGTCTTCTTGACAAACTACATGTGGATAACCTATTCTGTAGCGGAAGGACAAACATGAAAGCAGTAGTCAACTCTGGATCATTGCACTAGTAAAAGGAAGTAGCAATAGAAAAATGCATAAGTGCTTACTCTGGGTCATCCTGGAAATCTTGTGGTTCAGCCAACTCATCATACTCTGCTGCTGCATCTTTGCCAGCTAGGACGAGTTCCTTTGTAGGCACAATTACCTGCAATGAATTTAAGTGGTTAAACAACTCAATATTCACAGATTCTACAGAGTACTTTAGACTTAAAATAGGTACTCATTCAATTGGCAACTAAAATAATAAGATTTAAAAATATTTTCTAGTTAAAATAGATTTGAAAAAAATAAAAATATAATATATAATTATATATATCCTATTATTGACATGAAAGAAAAGTCTTGTACTTTAACAGGACTCTACATTGAATTATAGTGGTTATACTGCTTGTAGAGGTTATGGCGCTCTGAGGTTTTTGGAGCAGTCCTTTTTCTGTCAGTTTCACACAAAAAAAAACTAATACACTGGTGTATTCAGTCATTCTTTTTGGATATTGTTAGGAAATGATGTGAGGCTTTTGACAAGCTATTTGAACAGTTACACAAAAACAAAAAAACAGAAGGACTCCAAATGTACTCTGAGCCATAACCACAAAAATGATTGTAGTTATTGTTCTTGTAGTGTTCCTTAAAATTTAGTTTGTTTCAAAGACACACCTTTTATAGAGTAAGGATTTTGAATAATATTTTGATAATGACAAAAAAAAAAACCAAAAAAAAAAAACCAACATTTTTACGTGTGACGCGATATGTGAATTTACATGTCAGATCTATGTTACCAAAATGTAATGAAATTAGTTCCTCATATGAAGAATTATGCATCTTGGATTTCTTTAAAAAAAATAAAATACAAAAACAACAATGCTTAAGAGGGGGCCACTCCACTGTCCAAATAAAAATACAGTTAAGCAGATATATAGGCAATTAAAAATGCTTACCTTATGCCCTCCCCCTCCCCCCCATTTAGAGATTTATCTATAAACAGTTTGGATCTCTTATCAGTATCTGCTGAAATACCTCCCCTTCTCCCTCAGCCCAAGGAATCTTTTTTTTTTTTCTTTTCTCATTTAAAAGGAAAAGGGGACCTTCTTAAATTTAGCTCCACTGAGTTAAAAAGGATGCCATAGGGTCAGGAACACATAGTGTGAAACTATTTGGCCTACTAGCCCCCATTAAGGCTAGTAAAACCTCTCCTTATATCCAGCGCTCCCTATCCGCAACTTCAGCTGAAATCATCAAAATTGATGATCTCAACCAATCAAAACACTTTGACATAGGAAAACATTGGATTGGTTGAGATTGTCAATTCTGATCATCTCAGCTAAGGAGGCTGGCTAGGGGTTGAGCCAAATGCCACTCTGGCCAATCAGCATCTCCTGCAGCACTGAACCAGGAAGCACCTTTAGTGGCTGTATGAGTGGCGACCACAGCAAGTGTCCCTAAATTGTAAAGTCAACACTACCTTTTCTCTGAGCTGTAGTTGTTCTGGTGAATTTAAAGTCCCTCTAAACTATCAGGAGGTAACTGGTTCAATTGTCTGACAGACAGGGAGATGCAACAAGGTTAATTTATAAAACTGCTAATTTTGATTGAAATTTTCACTTTTTGTAAAATACAAAAATAAAAACTTCACACAAGGAATGTCATCAAACTAAAGTGCTTTTGGTGTCTGCGGTGTCCTTTTAATCTAAAATAGAAATTGTCAACAGAAGATTATAAACCCAGAACATGTACCTTGGCAGTGCTGTTAATGTCATAAGGATCCCCATCTTCACAAGGTATTAGAGTCAGATGAGTGAGATTTTCAACAGGGTTTGTCAAAGTCAGCAACACTTGACTCTCCTGAATCAGAGAAGTAAAACACATTCACTATGCACTCATTGAAAAAAACTAAACAGGCAAACTAAATTTCAATTCCCATAATTATCATTGCAAATCTCATTCAGTTTGGGCAATGTTCGCTTACAGCCAACCTTTGCCATTTAAAAGATGATGTGTGCTAATCTCACAATCATATGCACCAGAAAATATGCAGAGTATCACTTTAGACCTACTCTACTACAGCATCAAGGTTTCCTAGCCTGCACTATAATAAGACATTTTTCCTGGCAACTTCAGGGGGAGAGGCATGGTTGCCATTATAAAGGTTGACCCTTTAGGCAATTACATGAATCAGTTTTAAAAATAGTACCCAGATTTTTGTGTACATAATTTTCCCCCCCAGTTAGGACAATAACAGTTTAACTACTAACGCCAGGGCATTTATGGCACCATAGCCATTACAATGTGCTGTAGTGGTCACGGTGCTTTGAGTGTTAATTTCAAGGGAAATAATTATGGAAAAAAACCCAACAAAAAAAAAACGCATACTATGTTACACTCCTACTAAGTATCCAATACAAGATCATATGACAAGCATGCTCTCTTTGAAAAAAACAAATGAATATATGTTTTTATATAGACCAGATCCTAATTTACCACTGACAAATGGAATGGACATATAAAGCAAACTTGGATTAAAACTATGTTACTATGAGCCCTGAGTTTTTATTGTATTTTATTTGCAGCAAAATAGCCATGAAAGATTCCTCTCCACGACCCACTGGACTTGTAATAATATTTGTGAGGTTGTCCCTGGTAATTATGGTCCAGAAGCTGACCAAAAACAAAGATCACTTACCGTCACAAGCCCACCAGTGCAGTTAACTCGCCATGTTAAAGAAACACTAATGTCAGGAATACAAACATGTATTCCTGACACTATAGTTCTATCAGCGCCGTTTAGGTGGTCAGCTCAGGTGCCCTACAGTAAAAACGGTGTTACATTCACCTTTTCCTAGTGACACGTGGGTCCATCGCGGCTGGCCTTGCCCTCGTTCTGCCTCCTTGGCTGAGAACAAACTTTATGATCTCGACCAATCCAATGCTTTCCCATAGGAAAGCACCAGGGGGGCTATTGCACATGTGCAACAAAATGCTGCACCAGTCAGAATCTCCTCATAGAAATGCAATGAATCAATACATCTCTTTGAGGAACATTCAGCACCTCCATGCAGATCGTGGAGACTCCGAACATTGTGCAGCACTAACCCAGAAAGCACCTCTAGTGGCCATCTGCGTAATTGTCACTAGAGGTGTTACTAGGTAGTAATGTAAACACTGCCTTTACTCCAAAATGCTGGGTTTGAAATAAAAATCCTGCAGGGATAGGCAGGAGACACAAGAACAACTACATTAAGCTGTATTTGTTCTGGTGCCTATAGTGTACCTTTAATAACGTAAATGCTAAATACATGCATGCTCCTACAGCAGTATTACTTACCTTCATATGGCGTAGGTTTGGAATGGACATAATCCTCACCTCTGGAATGTAGCTCCTACACAAATAAATTATAAACACTCAGTCCATTAGAAGGGTGCATATGTAAGCTTTTTAAGCTGCCACTAGTTTATCCTTATCTGCACATTTTAGGGTTAATACCCAAGATTAGCATTTACATCATGAATGTACTGATTTCAAAAGAAATCGGCACTTTGATAAGAGTCCTAAAATGTACTCTCAGCTGTTACAAAAACGGAAGGCAATGTTACTCATAGAAAATAAAAATAAAATAAAAATGAAACAGATTCAATGCTCCTCTAAGAGAAATACTGCAGGCACTATGCAGCTAACACTGCCTGATTCTCAATGAGAACTGGATTGGCCAGAGGATCATCAGTACTAATGACCTTTGCATAGTTTGAGCGGAGCATGGAGGGCTCATCGTTCTATTGTAGCAGTAACCTAACCCTTTTATGTACAGGTAATTGGGGGGATAGGGAGTGTGGCAAAATGCCCATCTTTACTCTGGCCACAAAATTAACTTAAAACTGTACAAAATGAAGTAAATATACGTGCCTATAAATTAAGTAAATATATGGCCCTGTCTAACATTTAAAGATATCAGCCCCCCAAAATGAAAAAAGAAAAAAAAAAAAAAAACTGGAACAAAGCTCCTTTCTAGGACTGTATCCCTTTATTCATGCACAAAAGGAAAGAGTATATGACCATCTTTGTTTTCTACCCTAAATTTAAAAATACTATACTCTTGAAAAGTAACATTTATGTGCATTGATAATGATGATGATATAACGACTCACAGAGCAACCAGCTGAATCTTGAACTTGATGGAAGTAGGATTGAATTCTGGCTTGCTCAGATTATGTTCACATTTCTGGCAGAAATAAAAATAAAAACATTGCAATCACTGAAATAGATGGGCATGTGTACCAAAACAAATCTCTGCATTTTACCAACCCGGCATCGAAGAGACCGCTTAATCAAGAGATGTTTGTGTCGAGGATGCAGTTGTGAGGCACATATAGGCTGAAAATCAGGCTGCAGGAGGCGCTGGTCCAGGGTTGTAACTGAAGAAAAAAAAAAAAAAAGAAAAGAAAATGTGTTCTGTCTGCCACTTCGGAATAAATTGTACAATAGCAAAAGGAACTGACTGGTCAAAAGTTTAAATCAAAAGTAAAAAAAAAAAACAGGACTAAAAGATTCTATACAATAAGGAACTATTACCTTCTGTTAAATTGATGGGCCTGGTATAATAGTCTTCTGGTAAAGGTTCCACTTCATCTACAGCCTGAGCAGGTTCGATTTTCATTTCCTTCTGGTCTTCACCTTCTTTGAGACTGAAATTACAATTATACAACATTTGGAAGTGGGTACAATTAAAATAAGAAAATAATGTGATGCTATATACATACACCATTACCTGGACAGTGTTTGAAAACTAACAGTCTATGGTCGGGATGAGTTTCTCAATTATTTTTTACATATACTACATTAAGGAAAAAAATAAAAATATTTCCATTCAATATTGATGACACGATTATTATTATATTGCTTAAAAAACAAAAAAAAAAGGTTGTAGAGGTGACTGTTCTTTAATGGTCACCGAGATGGCAGAGTAATACATAGTCAAATGGTGTTAACCTTGCTCTTAAGTAAAAAAAATAAAAAAATATTATGGCTGCACTGTTTTTAGGATTGTATTTAACTCATTTGTGCAAAAAGGAAAACATTTGATGCATATATATTTGTATAATCAGTCTTGAAAAATAAAATTTCTCCTGCAATAATGCAAACAGGCTCTTGAGAAAAAAATAAAAAAAGACTTTGCAAATGTGTCACAAAGTGTGAGGCACAATCGGAAATACCTTCAGATTGGGATTTGTTTTCATTCAAATCCAAATCTGTACTGGATATTCTTTTAACCTTGCCAGGTAAATACAGTCAGATGTTTCAATTAACAGCTTATTTTTCATGGTTGCAATTTTAGCAATTCTTCCAGTTATTCCTATTTGGGTAAAGCATTTTCTATTCTAAATAGGATCCTACAATATAGTCTGTTTACTAGTCAAGTACCACAAATCACTTACGTCAAACCAGCCAGGGGAGCAATTGGAGCGCCAGGTCTTTGACGCTGGAGTCTTGTTCCACGGCCATACTTTTCCTTTTGGAACAAAAGTAGATTAATCATCTGCTTATTTATTTTAAGATAGCTAATGAAAGCTTGATGAAGATGCATTAAAAGAAAAATGAATGAATGCAGAGGTAAAAACACCACACACCTTTTTTTTCAAATTAGAGGAATTAATTAAAATTTACCCGGCAATTTGTGCATAATCAGAAATTGAATTTTGTAAATGAAATACCTATTCAAGGAACAATAATAGCAGAACTCTGTGGCAACTCAACACCACATTATCCTGCCAATAATCAATGGAGAGTCAATTGCGTAGGGTTGATATTGAACTGGATAAACAAAACAGCACTACTAAATTTTAGCTACAGATACAACATTCTGTCTTTATGTTTGAGTAACCAGAGAGGAACCTGCATTGATAAATGTAGTTTTGAAGCCAAACTGCAGACTCCTGAGAATCTGCTGCAGTGGGTCACCCACACACAGGAAAACATAACTCAAAGCATTTGATCGCATATGCGACACCGTCCGGCCGATGCACTGACAGTGGACTCCCCTCCACTCCTTTAGTCAGAATTGCAGAGCCGTCCGGCAGAATGACGCCGTTTGGTTCAATATCCCCCATGTGTACCCAAAGAGTCGCCTTATGAGGCCGCCACAGAGGACTGATCTTCACTGATCCAAGCTGCAAACTCACTACCAAGCACCCCGACAGTGGAGAATCAATGTTCTTCACGTCCAGTGTGATTCGGAAGCCCTTCACTTCACCTACCAACTGCACCCAGTTGGAAGACTGTGGATATGAACTTCGGCAAAGAATAAATATTGTCTCCATGGGGTGGAATTTTTCAGTCTAAGAGCAGAGGCCTCGTTAAGACAACAGACGATGGTACAGGCTGGGACTCGCCAGCTTTAGGAATCGGTTAGGTGTTACACATGTCTTACTTGCAGCTTAACTGTTTCACAGATGCCATCATGATTTTGCATATTGTTCTCACTGGCTCATGTTAACCCCTATTCTTGTGATCTTATTGCTTATCTGCAGAGATGTAATCTTTGTACCCAATGGTTCTTGTCTTTTAAAACCATCCATAGTTCTCTATAGCATGTACCTATTTATTCTTGCTTGCAATGCCAGACCTATGTTGCTTTAGTCTCCAACTTCTATTATGAATAGTGCAGTCTTACTAGCATTTCATACCTTGAGTGTTACTCTACACTGCTGTATCTACCCTTTTGAAATGTAATGCACGTTTATCTGTTGTACTATGCACTACAAAACTAAAGAATGAAAAAAGAATGCAGTTTTAAAGCCAACGCCATCAGTAGTTTAAAGGCTTAGCGAATGGGTATGAAGATGGGTTAAGTGACAGCAACAACAAAAAAACAAAGCCTATAACTTACCGCCACATGAATAGTGTGTTGCTGTGAAGCATTCCCAAAATGTACCCGTAGAGTGCATTTAAGGCAAAACAAAGGGACAGTAAGAAAAGACAACAGCACAAGGATTTTTTTTTTTTTTAATAATAGTCTGGCTAATCTCCATATATGCATGTTAAAGTGAGCACAATTAAAGATAACATATCTACATATCTACATATCTACAGAGAAAAATTAATGTTACTTTATATGTAAAAATTTTATAAAGCAAACAGTATCTGAAACAGTTTTTAAACAAGCTCAGGTTATTTTACATGTGGTTTATCAGAACATAGAGACACATTCCAAGGGACACAGAAGAGGAACTATTCCTTACAAAGCCTATTAAATGTTACCCAAACTTGCTTGTGAAAAATAGATTTTGGAAATAAAGCTTCAGCCATCCAGAAAAATACTTTAAAGATTACATTTATGATCATTAAAATGTATATATGTATTCCATGTGAACAGATGCAAGCAGCTTGTACAGGGTCTAAATTACAGGTTAATACAGACAATTTATTTAAATAAATCTCACAAACGTTTGTTTATGGTTTGAAATCATACTTACAGAAAATGCCAGAGGCATGTAGTTCCGGCGTCTCACTAATTTCTTTCGGTCACGTTCAATCTTTTCTTTCTGTGCCAGTTGTTGGTAATACTCCAACAATTTGTTAATCTAGAGAGAATACCAAAAAAAAAAAAAAAAAAATTTTAAAGAAAATTTAGAAGAATTTTTATAAATTATAATATATTAATATCAAAGCACTAAAAAGTAGTGTCACATGTGACCTTTTGTTTTGATCATCAATTTTAACTTAAGTGCAGTCACTTAAAGACCACTAATGGGACCCAGACAACTTCATTAAAATGTGGAGCAACCCTTTCATTTTAAACAAACAAAAGCCTTCAATTTAAAGAGTGATATACACTCTGCATTATATGCTCCAAATATTTGCATAGAGGTTGAAAGAGGTGTCACTTCCCAGGATTTTTATTATTATGCTTGCTTAATTCTATATTTAACAAATATGTATTTCCGAAAAATAAAATTAGAAATCCACAGCTCTATATCCTGCAGCTATCTAAGCTCCCTGTGGCAGAGCTACTGGCAGTGCAACTATACCGGGGCCTGCACGCTGAGGGGTGCCCATTGTGTTGCTCATGCATGAAGTGACCCCTACTGGGTATTTCTGAACAGGGTCCTCTCAAATCAGCAGTACAGGTTCCCCCAGGGGGTGAAAAAGGAGAGCCCCGGCTGCAGCCTCACACTGCCATGAACAGGACCCCAGGGAAGCAACCCTCTTGCACAAAAAAAAAAAAAAAATATGTATGTAACAGAAGGTTGTCTAAAAATATAAAAAATGTGTCAGTGTAAGTTTTAGGGTATATGTGTATATTTGTGTCAGTGTATATGTATGTGGCAGTGCATATGTATGTGTATATACAAACACACTCTTGCATTCAGATGCGAAAATTATATACAAACACACCCTTTCGCTAAAACACCAACACTACACACAAATGTACACCTGCATTTAATAGCAATCACTACATACAAATACACTCTTGCACTCAAAGACAAAACATAATATACAAACTCACCCCTGTATTAAAAATGCCAAACTTATATGCAAAAAAAACCTTCATTTAAACACCAGAACTACACAAAAAAGTAAACCTGCATTTAAAAGCCAACATTACAAATACCACTGCATTCCAATGGCATAAGTACAAAGAAACACACACAAAAACATGCCTACATGTAAACACACAAACACTGTTTGGTGTTTGTGAAACCATTCAAATGTACCAATCGCCTAGAAATACTGTAAATACACCACCAAAATGTTTCTTGGCTTTTACCCATTTCCAAAATATGCTTAGAGCACTGACCAAACAGTTGTGTGTTTACTTGCTACAAAAGTCTAAAATCAGAGTGAAGATAGCTTTGTTTAACACAGGGGTCTCAAAGTCCTATCACCTGGGGATCACTGATGAGGTCGTTGTCATCTCCTAAGGAAATGATATACCTGTCTTCTCGCACAGCTAAACACACTTGCATACACAATATACACTCCTCTCTCCCAGGACTAATAACATGGCTGAGCACTTGGTGGAGGCCGCTTGCTGGAACTTTACCTATGAGGCTGAAACTCATATAGGCAAATACTGCAGCCCAGTACGTGATATTCCTCATCCCCTTATTCAATTTTCTTACTGTTCAGGACCAGGGCTATTTTTACATTTCTGCGGTGTTTGTGTTTAGCTGTAATTTTCCTCTTACTCATTTACTGTACCCACACATATTATATACCGTTTTTCTCGACATTAAATGGTCTTTCTAAAGATACTATTATTTTCATCATATCCTACTATACATTTTTATAAAATATGACAAAATAATGTAAAAAAACAACCAACATTGACCCCCCCCCCCAAAATCTGTTACGCATCTACAACCGCCAAAAAACACCCATGCTAAATAGTTTCTAAATTTTTTCCTGAGTTTAGAAATACTCAATTAACATGTTCTTAGCTTTTTTGGAAAGTTATAGGGCTATAAGTACAAGTAGGACATTGCCGTTTCAAAATCTATATTTTTTAAATTTATCAATAGTAACATTGTTATCTGTCATAAATCTCTGAATCACATCTCACATGTACATTTTTTTTTTATTTTTTATTTTTTAAAGTAGACAACCCAGGGTATGCAATATGGGGTATGTTCAGTCTTTTTAGTAGCCACTTAGTCACATACTTTTGCCAAAGTTAGCATTTATATTTGTTTGTGTGTTTAAAATGCAAAAAACTATTATGAACGCTAACTTTGGCCAGTGTTTGTGACTAAGTGGCTACTAAAAAAGACTGGACATACCCCATTTGCAATAACTTGGGTTGTCTACTTTTGCAAATGGTATGCAATCATCTGGATAATTCTCATTCCTGGGCTACCATACGGTGTCAAAGGTAAAATGTATCACAATAATTATAACATCTGTGAAAGTGCCGTTTGTGTGTGAAAAATGCAAAAAATTTCACTTTCACTGACAATATCATCGCTGTGATAGGTTTACTGGTTTTAAGCTAGCAAATTAAATTCTCTGGACTTTCTGCCTGTTATCAGGCAGGTCCCCCAAAATGCAATCAATAAAATTACTTAATTCTTTAAAAATATTAAATAAATATGCACATAGAATTTAAATATATATACATATTTATTTATTGTCTACGTGTATATTTTTGAAATTATGTATATGGACATGTGTGTGTGTGTGTATATATATATATATATATATATATATATATATATATTTTCATTCTAAGTGTATTTTGAGATACACACACACACTAATATCAAAATACAGTTAGAATAAAATTACATAGTTTTTTTTTTTTTTTTAAATGAATTATTTATAACATATACACAATAACAGACAGAGCATCGGAAGCCTGCCTGATGGCTTCTGATGCTCTGCCTCACTGCCTGGCGCAACCCGAGTGAGCGATCACCCGGCGGCACGGCAGTGAGGGGGCGTATTGCAGGATGCCCCGACATCGAGGCATCGCTGCAATACCATCAGAGAGACTGGAAGAGATCTGGTATCAGGTACGTCCGAGGTCACTAAGGGGGTTAAAGGGACACTAAGAAGCAATATCACTACATGTTAATATGGTGTTTTGGGTGTAAAAACCCTGTAATTCAAAGTATTGACATTTCTGAGGACCGTTGGTCAGCAGTGTTAAATGGATCCTATAGTACCAGGTAAACAAACCCGTTTTCCTTAGCATTATAGGCTCCTGGAGGACCCAATGTCAGATGTCCAACACCTAAGCACTTATATCAATTGTTTCTCCCAAATGCTTACCCTCTGGGTGTGTGGATTCTCTGGCTCCTGCCAACCACCACTTGCTGTAAAACAAAGCACAATTACATTTAAAGGACACTCCACTGCCAAAATAACAGTTACTGTTTAGTAGATACACCAACATTTAATTTTTTTTTTTAAATTAATTTAGGGTAGATCTAAAAACAGCTTGCAAAAGTCTTTGGAAGCCCTCCTCGTCTAAACCAGCCCTATTTTTTTTACACTTTTCACAAAGCATTTCAGCAAGATGAAGTGCGTTAGGGTCTGGAGTATCCCTTTAACCATTGTTTAGAACTTCATGTTATGCACAACAGAATAATATACAAAGAATAAATGTTTCAGATATGAGTGGACACCTTTTGAATGCATCATGTAGGTAACTAAAATAGGGTGGAAAATACATTTCTGCGAACTACATCAATTCCTGCAGATTCTATAAGAACATGAAAAAAATAATTTTTTTTGTAGTTCTAACCCTCCCATTTTTCCCAATGGCACAAAAAGTACAATATGCCCAGGCACACCAGATATTTTCTTCTGGAAGGAAATCATTATTTCGAATCAGGAAATTAAAAAAATAAATAAAATAAAAAATGTTTCTTTGTCCAGGCTCGTGTAGGAGCCAAAATGGTTTTTTATTTTTTTATTTTCCGGATTCCAAATAAAGACTGCCTTCTATAAGAAATTACCTTGTGTGCCTGGGCATTTTGAACTTTATTTCCATTGGATATTTAGGGAACTGGCCCTCCCTATCTGGAGCACCCTGGTAAAAGTATCCCCCCCTTTTGTGTGTGCACTGCTCTCTCCAATCTGGTTACATTATTTCCAATGGGAGCACTGCATAATGTACTAGGTCAAGAAAAACATCTCACCAAGCTAACAAAAGCAGCAGGATGACTACCATTTGTTTTCCTGAAGGTACCATTTGAGTATTCTCATGAATGAATCTGTGGATGCCTTAGGAATCCTACCAGACCCATATAGAGAGCTGGCTTTTCAACTGGATCTGTTAGCGGTGACAATGGCCAGACGTAAGGGATCACTAAAACTCTGAGAAACAAAGGCATCCCATATCAGTGGGGTTTTCCTACAGCACTGCTAGTACGGTAGACTTAAGGCCTTATTGACATCTTTTTTTCCACAACACCAAACAGTCAGCTTCCAAAAACATCCATTTGGTTGGCCTGTAATGCACCATGAGAGGCAAACTAATAGAAATAAGTGCAAGGAGGAAAAGGCATATGCAACTAGAAATTCAGCTTCATAATATTATGGCTAGATGCCTTTCAAATGCATATCACAGAACGCAGACTCTTTTATACACAGGGGAATAGGGTGGGTAAATTATTAAAGGAAAATATGTGCAAATCAAAATACCATTTCTGATGTCAGAGAAAGGGGAAAAAGTAACCAATCCAACCAATATAGCAAACAAATTGTCTAAAATCTATGCATCGCTATATAATCTGAAAGAGGCTACAAAACAACACAAACCCTCTCAGAGGGAAATTAAGGAATTCCAAACACTAAACACACATTTTTCATCACATACAAGATTCACAACATCTACGTGGAGCCATCACAATGCTACTGCTGACTTCCACACTTGCAGTACACAAGATTTACGCCCCTAAATATGGACTGTTTGGTTCAATTGAGCTCCTTCTCTGCTGTGTACATTTGTAACTTTGTAATTGGGTGCAATGGTGATCGGTTGTAATGTGCCTAGGGAGAGGGAGAAACAGATAGAGATAGAAACGGATAGATACAAATAGATAGAGATAGAGATATAGAAAGAGTAAGATTAAAAAAAAAAAGTGATAGATGGAGTGAGTGTGTGTGTGTATATATGTTTAACAATATTTATTTACAGCGTGTGTTTGTATGCAAACACTATAGAGATCAATATATACACACACACACATATACATATATATATATATATATATATAGTGTGTTTGCATACTTTGGGTTAGGAGGGGGGCGGGCATAGACAGCAAGCTGAAAGTCAGTTCGCGAACGCGCATACTGCACGGTAGAGCGCTCCGTTTTTTTCATAGAGTGGCATTCAATGCCGCTCTATGAAGAACTGGATTGGTGCAGCACGAAGCTGCGGATGCGCACCAGAGAGAGATGACTCAAAGAGAAGCATCGGATTGAGCCCTGCAATTTCATCATTTTGACGAAAAAGGAGGCGTGGCCTGGCAGGGAGCTCGGCGCTGGGGGACCGGTCTTTCTTGCTTTTATATGTGGACTATAGTGATCCTTTAAAGGACCACTATAGTGCCAGGAAAACAAACTCATTTTCCTGGCTCTATAAGGTCTTTGCGTCCCCCCCACCCTCAGGGTCCCACTCCCGCCGGGCTGAAGGAGGAGGAAGGGGTTAAATTCTTACCTTTCTCCAGCGCCGGGCACCCTCGGCGTGGGGACTCTCCTCCCATTTCTGACGTCATCCGCTGAATGCGCATGCGCGGCAAGAGCCACGCGCACAGTCAGTCCATAGGCAAGCATTTCTCAATGCTTTCCCATGGATGGCAGCGTCACGGTGAAAAGCGCGGAAGCGCCTCTAGCGGCTGTCAAAGAGACTGCCACTAGAGGCTGGATTAATCCTAATGTAAACATAGCTGGACCTGGCACGCAGACCACTTCAGCCGAGGTGGTCCTTTAACCCCTTAAGGACACATGACATGTGTGACATGTCATGATTCCCTTTTATTCCAGAAGATTGGTCATTAAGAGGTTAATATTAAATAAGAAAGGGGGCAGAGCCTGACCAGCGAGCAAGCAAAACGTGCCTTGCATGAGCACCTGCTACACTGACACTATCCGCATGATATCTCGGGCTGAAGTGCTGGGAAACTTACGAAAAGGAGCCCTACAGGCTGGGAAGCCGTCACGCACCTGTGGATATCAAATCTGACACCCGGAGTATCCGTGACGGCGGATTGAGGCCTACTAGAGAAGGTGGAGTGGAAAGACAGCCGCTTTTTGCTCACGGCTCCAAGCCGCACGCAAGCACTAATTATTCTCCCCCCCCCTCACCCCACCCCCGTGGAGGAGGATACATTCATGGCCGCTTGCTACTTGGTATAGTACACAGACTTCTGAAAGCAGTAATAGATATATGCTCAGGGATACAAACTAAACTTGAAAATCAGCAGTGTCATCTCTGCCACTTTGTAAATATTTAAATTCATAAAATCTTTGTAAAATATAATGCTAACTGATTTGGAATTATATTGAAATTATAAAGCAATGAAGAGATGTAAGTCAAAGAAAGGGAACTTCTGATGTCAACTTTTGTTCTTCTTAAAGCCATCACTAGTGATGGCTGTGGGAGACTAATATCTTCAAGCACATCTTGCGAGTTGGTCTATGGATGATCCTAGGGTATCAGAGAACCATCCAAAGACCCGTGTTGAACACTTGCACAAGAGTAGTGTTATGGCTTGCAGACGGATTAAGTGCCAGGAACTAAGGAAAGAAGTTGGCGATGCCAATAGGTGAGTTAGGTAATTATATCTAACTTTAGCTTAATGGCCTGGCAATCATACACAAAGTGGAGGTGTCACTTTCTCTTTAAAATATGCAAAGACCCCCAATAGGGGACAGAGCTACTTTAATTTAAAGTATAATCATCTTGCTAATACAATCCACCTTTGTCTTAACACAGACCCTCCCCATCTCAAAAAGGACCATATACAATGCAAAATACATACCAACTGACTTGTCAGCCATACCAACATCTCTGGAGGTCCAACGGCAAAAGCCACAAGCTAGGTAATAAGCTTTCTTCATGGTGGTTTTTGCAGGGTCATCCGGAAGAGGTGCAGGGATGCTAGTTGCCCGGGTGGATAGGGTATGCATGCAGCAGGGACAGTCAAAACAGTTGGCACATCTGTTAGACAACATAAGTAGCAAATAATTTAAGGACATCATAACACAATCCTTGCACCATTCTACCATGCTTTACCTAAACTGCATTACTAATGTTGCTAGCGGTCAACAACTACAGACCTTTATTAATAAGATGTAAAAGAGCTTCTAATGTTAGCTTGGCATAATGTCAAATGGTGGCATTCCTTTCTGCGGTTAAAGGGACACTGTGGACACTAGAACCATTTAATCTCATTGAATTGGTTGCAGAGTGCCTGGAGTCCTCTGACACTGTTCCTCCATTCAGTGTTAAAAACGTTTCTGAACAGTAAATAGGGGCCCTGGCCACACACAACCCGGCCTTCACTGAAAGTATGGCTTTGGCAGAGATTACAAACTTCCTTCTAGCCAGAAGGATTCATACCAGCAATGAGTGCGGTTATAGACTTAAAGCGAACACTCTCGGCAAATCACAGCCATCTATTGCTGCTTCTTCATTAGCAAAAGCAGTACATAGGTGATGCTGTGCTGCTGAAGACTTGTTTAGCACTAAAATATTAAAAATGGTTAAATGCTTCATGCAAAGACAGCACCAGGGTCCCCACAACACTATAATCAGCTTAGTGAGATTAAGCAGTTACAGTACCTATAGTGTCCTTTTAAAGGGTTACCCCCCCTCCCACCCCCAAAAAAAACAAAAACAAACTGTTTTAAGAAATTTTGGTTAGAGTAACATTTTCTATCCTGGTCCTCCTACCCTCAAGCTTAAAAAGGGTTACTCCAACCACCATGACCACTTCTGCTTTTTGAAGTGGTCATGGTGACAGAAGCCTGGATGTGCAGCTTTGTTTCAGCTTTATTTGCAATGGTGTGCCAGTGGGCAATTACACCCCCATGTTACACCCCAAATGTCAATTCTGCGCATATTTTTCATCTGTCGTCGGCACGAACTGCACGCTGGGAAAATACTTCTCTACCTGCAAGGAAATGCTCGCGTCTCCCCTCCCTTGCCTGCAGCCCTCATGCATTTCTTATCCCAATCGTTAATTTATTTTTCCACCCTCCCCTCCTTCATTGCAGACTCAAAGCATGCATGTGCTCTGAGCTGGGTATAATGGTCCAACCAAAGCTTTCCTCCCCCCTCCCTTCCCAAAAATAAAAATAAAACAAAAAAAATAAAACACACAAACCAAAAAAGACCCACAGATTGTTTTACTTCTTGGGATACAGGTACTATCATCACTCTATTTCCAAAACACATCACATACTGGTGCTCTCAGTCATGCATTAGTAATTAGAGCAGTAACAGGTGGAGTAAGCGTAGACTTGTGTAATGTTGAACTAAGAGGTTTCTCACACAGCTTTGACACTTCTTGGCAGTGCCTTCATAGTACATGTAGGATCCAAGATATGCTGCACTGAGAGAAACGTTTCTCTTAGTCCAACTAAGTGTTTAGTAGGCTAATAATATGTGCCATATGACAAATAAGTATGTTTATACAACCAATGAATTATAATGAATTAAATCAACATTGGAAGAATGCCAGATGGAACCACTTTCAGAAGAAGTTAGTAACCATTATTCATGAAGCATGCATAGTGCTTAAGATACAGACAGAGACAAACAAGTGAGAACAAACCTGTTTTTTTTAAGTTTGGCCTCAGCCGATGGCATATTCTCCAAGCAGCTGGGGCAATAGTGTGAGTCCACCTGCAGATGAAAATACAGGTGAAAACACGTTTGTCAAGTGTCACATACTATTTATAAATATCAAATCCCATGTCTACCCAATCTGTCTATTGACCCGAAAGGAAAAGAATCAAGGTTATTTGTTAAAGGGATATTCAAAGTAAATTCCAAATTTATGCTTCCATTTCAGCTACTTTGGCCTTGAATTTGAAATTCACTTTAACCCCTTAAGGACCAAACTTCTGGAATAAAGGGGAATCATGACATGTTACATGTCATGTGTCCTTAAGGGGTTAAAGGAACACTATAGGGTCAGGAATACATGTTGGTGTATAGTAAAAACACTACGTATCCCCCCTCCCTCCACAAATGTAGTAAAATCTTACTTTTATTCCAGACTGCTGCTGCTGTGTCTGTCCCTGATCAGCTTCTTTGGCTGACATCATTAGAAGTGTTGTTCAAAGCCAGTCACAATGCTTTCCCATAGGAAAGCATTTAATTGGCTGAGCTTGTCAAGGAGGCATATCATGGGCAGATCCAGCACAAGCCAAACACAGCCCTGGCCAATCAGCATCTCCTCATAGAGATGCACCGAATCAATGCATCTCTATGAGGAAAGTTAAGTGTCTCCACGCAGAGGGTGGAGACACAGAATGTCAGGAAGCACCTCTAGTAGCCATCTGATGATTGGCCAGTCGTAGTATGCCTAAACCAGGGGTCAGCAACCTATGACACTCGAGGCTGCTAGAGCCAATCAGAAGTCCCAGTGAAACCTCATATGTGCTAGTGCAAAAAGGTGGTGAGGAACAATCCTTAATTTACGCGTTGCAGCACTTAGACACCCAGCACTTGTGAACGGGAATCCATACTGGTGTAGAGCAGCCAACAGCAGCTTTCGTAGTTCCTGCCCTTGAGCTGTACCTGGCCCGTCCGGTCCCAACTGGACCCCAAGGAAGCCACCCACACTGATACACAAGGCTGCAGAATAAGCCTTCCCCTCATACAAATAATGCAAACATCACAAACACACATACAGATCACACAAAACTACTGATAATACACGCAAACAAACCCAAAAGCAGCCTCTCACATGCAATACCACAAGCAGCCCCATACACACACACACACCACTAAACACACTATGTGACATATCATCCACACAGAATTCCACAAGCAGCCCCCATACACAACACACATTCATAGGTAAACCATACTTTAAAAAATATGATGGGCATACCAGGGAAATTAAAGATCTTGTTTTGGCACAGTAATACTAAATGGTTGCCTGCCCCTGGCCTAGACTGTAAAGTAAACACTGTATTTTTCTATGAAAATACAGTGTTTACTGCAATAAGCCTGAAGGGAATAATTATACTCACCAAAACAAATACAACAAGCTGTAGTTGTTCTTGTGACTATAGTGTCCCTTTAAATTCATTTTGAATTATCAAATTATGGATTTAGTAAATAACTCGGTACAACTTTTATGTGTAATAAGAAATAAAAAAATAAAAAAAGTTATCCGTGGTAGCTAATTTTGCAATTACACTAGATTCTGCAAATAATGGAATAGGATTTAACATTATATTTGGTATTTCATATTTCAGATGTAAATAAACACTTTAGCCAATATTGTGGAGCAGATTTATACTCTGTAGATTATTTTTTGTGTGTGAAAAGCATACAGGACAGGAAACTGCTAAAGAGAAGTTCAGCTCTTTCTATCTTAAATCCTGCAGTTTCGCAGGATTTTCCGTAGACCTTAATGCTGTACTATTGTGCATGCGCAAGAATGCGGTGCTGACTTTGGCTCATTGTCTTACCTCTCCCTGCCCTCCCATGGTCATTGTGCCCACACCGGCAATGTCATAGTCAGGAGTCTTTGTAAAGTGACAATTTATTTTTCTAAAACACCCGAATTGTTAAAAATAATGGGGATTTAGTTATACTGGAGCTATCTGGTTTTTGAATTCCCCTCTATCACAAGTGCATCACTCTAGGCCCCTATTTAACCTTGCACTGCACACAGGCCCGAGAGGATGGATTTCCCATGTAAGTGGTAAGAGCAGGCATTAGCTTGCTAGAACAGGACCTGCCAGAATGTATGATCATTTACTGTAACTAAATCCAGTTACACCCCTGGCACATGTGACTTCCTAATGTCAATTCTGTGCATATTTTACATCCGTCATCAATGGCAATGGACGAATTGAGCTTCTCTATCATCCCAGGAAAGCTGGAAGAGGTAGTGTAGATGTCCCCTTCCTCCCTCCCTGCTACAATGCAAATCTCAAGCACAGGGTTTTTTTGTTTTTATTTGTTAAGATACATTTTTAGTTTTAGGTGTTTCTGCAAAAAAAAAAACATAAATGTGTAGACTTGTGCACAGGTCTATTCGAGCTTCCCTGAACAAATCAAGTGCCTGTCGATACATGGATGTAGGGACAGATTTGTTCATATCTGTCTGACAAATCTATTAGTTCATCCATAGCTTGACAGTCTTAAAACTGAACCTTTATTTAAAAATATATTTAAGTGATAAATAATGAAAAGAAAGAAAAATTAAATTAAAAAACAATAAAAAAAAAAAAAATCAAAAGTATACATAACAGAATAAACAAATTTATGCTGCAAAATAAAATAAGTGCTGAAAACAACTCATCTAAAGTCTGGGGTTACAAAAAAAAAAAAAAATGCCCCAGCAGACAAGGGGATGTATCCAGTAATACTTGGGTCTCCCTGGTGTGAGCAGGTATTTAACCCTAATCACATCAAATATGCAGACCTTTCAATGCTATAGGCTTTTAAGCCCAATTTGTGTAGAACAGTATAGAATGCCCCACCGTCCTTGAGGCGTACAAATGCCAAGATTATATGAAAACACCCCTTCAATTAAACACCTATACTACACACAAAAAAAAAAAACACACACTGCATTTAAAATCTAACACTACATTCAAACACTACATAGAATGATTGTATTCCAATGGCAATCGTATATACAAATACACCCATACTCCACAAATGCACAAACACGGTTCACAATGACAGCCCTGCAAGGATATGCAAATGATATATATCCCCAGCTGACATAGCAACATGGGAGTTGTATGACAGATGGGGATCTACCTTTTGGCCACCCTTGCACTAGTGGGGAGTCCAAAAATATTTCTTGCACCTAGGCCTCATCTACATTAGTTCCACCACTGCTTGGAGAGTCCCATTAAATTACTTTGTATATGAAGCCCTCGTGACAACTCCTTGCTGTGACTCTCCAAAAATGGACAAAGAGGGATACTTTAATTTTAGGGGTGTGGTCAGAGGTGGGACTGTTGTGATAAATTTTAAGTGGCTTACTAATCATTTATAAAAATGACGTATCTTATTTCAACAGTCTGGTTTCTAAACGCATTTGTTGTAGCTTAACCCCTTAAGGACACATGACATGTGTGACATGTCATGATTCCCTTTTATTCCAGAAGTTTGGTCCTTAAGGGGTTGGATTCTATAGTGTTAGGAATACAAAGTGTATTACTAACACTACAGTGCCCACTGGCCCCCACCTACCTCGCGCACACCTCCCTCCCATGGGACATTAAGGTTTAAAATTAAAAACATTTACTCACCCAATTCCCCAATGTCATCTGATAGGGGGATCTTATATATGTGCATCGAGCGCATTAGGCCCTTCCCATAGGAACGTATTGACACAATGCTTTCTTATGGGAATTTCACTGACACTGTGTGTACTCAAGAGTGTGAAGACGTCCGGTGTCATTTAGGGACCCAGAGTCCGGTAATCTTCAGGAATCGCCTCTAGTGGCGGTATTAGTGCGGCAATGTAAACATTGCAGATTCTCTGAAACTGCAACGTTTTTACATTGCAGGAATAAGAGGGACAGGGACACTGCACCCAGATCACTTTAATGAGCTGAAATGCCCCTTTATAGACACATTGCTGTATTATTACCGTGGACAATATGGAGCTCCTAGATGAGAGGGACAGAGATTTGAGCCCCAAATAAGGTACTGTCTCTCCTACACAGGGACACTTGGGAGGTACAGTATGAGGATTGTGTCTCTTACAGTAATGGCTAACTCTGCCAGCCAAGACATTGCCAGTGTGACAGTGTCCATGGAGAGCATCAGCCGCACTGAGCAGCCACACAGCTCTGTACAGTTAGCAGGGCCGATTCATTGTATTGGCAGGCAGGTTGCCGCTGTGCTCGCAGTGTCCCTGGGACAGAGAGTCAGGGCCGGCGCGTCCATAAGGCAGCACAGGCGGCCGCCTTAGGGCGCACCGGCTCCGGGGGAGCAAGATTTCAGTGACCGGCAGGAGGGAAGCTCTCCCTCCTGCCAGGCCACCTTCTGGATCCCCGGCACGGCGTGCGGCAGTGCTGTGATCAGACGCGGCGAGGGAGCTCTAATCTCCACGCTCTGCTCCCTCGCGCGCTGCCTGCTGATGCCGCAGGAGCCGGAATATGACGTCATATTCCGGCTCCCGCGGTATCAGAAGGCAGCGCGCGAGGGAGCAGAGCGTGGAGATTAGAGCTCCCTCGCCGCGTCTGATCACAGCACAGCCCCACTGGACCCCAGGGAATGATTCATCATCCACACCAGCTCTCCAGGTAGGGAGGCTGGATGGAAAATGTTTATTTCTTAAAATAATTAGTGAGTGTGTGTATGCGTGTCTGTGAGTGACTGTCTGTGATTGAGTGTGTGTGTGTCTGTATGTGTGCCTGAGTGCCTGTGAGTGACTGAGTGTGTGCATGAGTATGTGTGTCTGTGAGTGAGTGTGTCTGTGAGTGCTTGTATGAGTACTGCATGTGAGTGTATGAGTGTGGCAGTGTATGTGTGTCTGTCAGTGTGTGTTTGTGAGTGTCTGTCAAATCAGTGAGAGTATCTTTGTCATTGAGTCTGTGTGTGACTATCAGTGTGCCTGTCAATGAATGAGTGTGTGTCAGATCAGTGAGTCTGTGTGTTTGTCATTGAGTGTGTGTGACTGTCAGTGTGTATACACCACTGAGTGTAGCGTGGTGGAACGCAGTACAGGAGCTTCTGTTTCCTGTAACCGGCCAGACTGACCGGAGGTGCTCACTGAGAGAGCACTCCCTGTCAGTCCGGCCAAGTACAGAAAATTGAAGCTCCTGTAGGGGATATCCTCCACTCGGCAACGCTACAAGAGAGGTAGGAGGCACACCAGGAAGGGGAGTGCGACCACTAAGGGGGTGGGGGGTGCACCAAGGGACAGGGAGGGGAGGGGAGAGAAACACCAAGGGACAGGAAAAAGAGGGGAGAGCTTAGAAGAACACTAAGGGACAGGGAAGGGAGGGGACCACTAATGGACGGGGAGAGGGGCTGGTTAAGAGGCACATAGGTGAAGATGTTATTTGGGGGGGGTGGAAAGATACATCTTCGCCTATGTACCCAAAAATCCTTGCACCGGCCCTGCAGAGCGTACTGACTCCCCGGTCTCTATTAATATCACTGCGGGGACAGCTCACTCATGTCTGGCCTTGGGCACCCACCCTACAGGCAAGCTGGAAGACGGACAGGGCTATCAGCCAATCAGCACGAGTCCCGCCTCTCCATCCAGCCACAGGCATTAGGTACCAGTCGGGCGCTAATGATTAGCATATGGTATCAGCCAATCAGCGCAGAGATAGATGCGCTTCCTGTCATCTGATTGGCCGGTAGGATACCATTACTGTCAATGTACCGGTATAACCCTGGCTGCACGGCTTCCAGCGCTAGATTTACCTCGTGCGACACACATTCCAGGGAGCGCAGTTCACTGCAGTAGCGGCAGAAATAGAGCTGGGATAACGGAGCACGGATATCTTTCTCGCCGTGAACTAAATACAGGACCCGCTCCAGCTGAAGCAGCGACGCCATTTTCCTATAGAACCGCCTCCTTCCCAGTCACATGACCTGGGTGGGCCGTTGATTTAGGTTACGTAAAGGATGCTGGTCACGTGTCTATGCGGCGCCTACACTCGCATTCTGAGAGCAGCGAGTGCTAATAACTAGAGACTTAATGATAATGGTACCTTGTGCTCTAAGCGTCTCCTATGATAGCATTGTAAGGGCGTCGAGTGCTAATAACTAGAGATATAATGATAATGGTACCCTGTGCTGGGTACTTTTTTATTACTTTTCAAGTGGGTTATTCTTGCTTGGAATGGAGTGTCAGGCTGTGGGTGTATTATGCTGCTTCATACTTTGTTGATACATTGTTTTACATTTCCAACTAAGCTCAATTACGTTATTCAATCACACTAATCATTGTACTGCACATATATATATTTACTGAATTTAACTGAAATAAACAGTTAAAGGAACAGTCCACTGCCCAAATAATATAAATGTTTTAAAAAGTTAGTTTACTTAATATGCCCCAAATGAAAACTTGCATCCATTTAATTATGCATTTCTCATTGAAGTGATATATCTAAAACCACATGCAAAACCGGCATTTCTCTTGTCTGCTCCCTTTACAAGCCCTCCTCTAACTGGACTTTTCAATGCAGCTCAACAAGAAGTCTTAGCAAGGCAGGTGCCCAATTGCTGCCTCTTGAATTTAGCTCCACTGAACTAAACAACCAAAAAGTCTGACAACAAGGACAAACAATTCCTGCTTTAGTGGGTAAATGTCAAACGTGGTCTGTCTTGAGAAAGATAAAATCGTGTAGCATAAAAATACTTTTCATATGATCTCACATTTAAAAATAAACGTTCTTTACATGATGAAAAGGAAACACATATCTAAATATAAGTTCACACTTTGGGTGACCACATTTTCCGGAATAGTTTGTCTAAAAGGCGTTTTCCAACGCACAACTAATTCTCAATCCAAAATGCAAGAAGTGAAACCACAGACTTACCACAGTGATTCATCAACCTGCATCTCTCCATATCAACACTAAACACATTGATTGAAGACAAGATTATCCTAACTCTACATAAGTTGTAAATAAAGAAGTTTGCTTTCATAAATGTTTTTTTTTTCTTCTCTCTTTTTTGCCCCTTCCTTTCTTTCTTTTTTCTTCTTGATATTTTTTATTGGAAAAGCATGACATTTAACATAAAAAATACATAATAAACATATAAAAACATACATACCAATAATCAATAACTAGGCAAATGTGGCAAACCTAGAGAAATCATCATATTTGTGGAACCAATCTGAAGATATATAGAAGAAGCAACAAGCAGATAATATTTAACTGGGATGTGGAATAAGGAGGGTAACATATTACTCTTGTTTACAAAGTTAGTGTACATAGTCAGAGTTTTAAAGTTACTATTATTAAGATTGATGTTCATTTCTATTTCCAACTGAAATAATAATTAATTTTTAAATTGTTCTTTTGAAGGAATTAGTAGTTGTTTCCAATACCTCGCAATCAAAATCTTGGCCGGCATAAGGCAGTGATTATGATTAATCAAAATCTCTGATTTTCAAGCTATCCTAGTTTAAATGCACAAGTGCATTTTTAATATTTTTTATCTAATGTAACATCTGATAAAACCTTTAGAGTAATATAGACTGAATTCAGGAATCTGAATATCCTAGGACAGTGATGGCAAACCTTTTTGAGCCCGAGTGCCCAAACCGCAATACATGCCAACTTTTTTTTCCTCAAAGTGCCAGCATGGCAATTAAACCTGAATACTGAGGTTTAAGTTTAGAAAAAAACTACTTGTACAGTTGTGCGAACTAATTAACAACTTTTGTTTTAAAAGAAGAACACAACAGAGAGTTCAGTGATACAAATTTTAAATAATGATATAAATAGATCAAATTAAGCTTATATTTATTAGTATCTCCAACAAATGCAATACATACACACAGACTGCTGAACACATTCACACACCGGCTGCTAAATACATACACACACACCGTCCGCTAAATACACACACACACCGTCTGCTAAATACACACACAGTCCGCTAAATACACATACAGACAGATTGCTGAATACACACACAGACAGACTGCTGAATACACACAGACTGCTAAATACATACACTGCTGAATACACACACACAGTCTGCTGAATACATACACTGATGAGTACACACACATACACAGACTGCTGAGTACACACACTCACAGACTGTTGAGTACATACACACACACAGACTGCTGAATACACACACACTGATGAGTACACAGAGACTGCTGAATACATACACACACACACAGACTGCTGAATACATACACTGCTGAATACATACACTGCTGAGTACACACACAGACTGCTGAATACATACACACACTGCTGAGTACACACAGACTGCTGAATACATACAGACTGCTGAATACATACACACACAGAGACTGCTGAATACATACACTGCTGAATACACACACACAGTCTGCTGAATACATACACACACACACACTGCTGAGTACACACTGCTGAATGCATACACACACAGACTGCTGAATACATACACACACTGCTGAGTACACACAGACTGCTGAATACATACAGACTGCTGAATACATACACACACAGAGACTGCTGAATACATACACTGCTGAATACACACACACAGTCTGCTGAATACATACACACACACTGCTGAATGCATACACACACACACACACAGACTGCTGAATACATACACTGCTGAATGCACACACACAGTCTGCTGAATACATACACACACACAGACTGCTGAATACACCCACACAGACTGCTGAATACACACACACACACACACAGACTGCTGAATACACACACACAGACTGCTGAATACACCCACAAAGACTGCTGAACACACCCACAAAGACTGCTGAGTACACACAGACTGCTGAATACACACACTGCTGAGTACACACACTGCTGAGTACACACAGTCTGCTGAATACATACTGTGATAAGGTGAATGGGGTGGTCTGTGAGGGAGTCTATATCTTGACAGAATGTTCAGAGAGGCATATGATTTTTAACCCCAGGGGGAGTGTATGTTTCTGTGTATGTAACCAGAATGAATATTTAGTTATGGGCCCCTGGGGTGGAGCATTTGGAGAGCAGGGTGGGCCAGTGCTCCACTCCGCAGTTTAGCGGTTTTCTTGGAAGACATAGATCCAGCCCAGGGTTTTGGACTGTCTCCAACCTACTGCTCAGCTGCAGGTAATCGGCTGCAGCAGTGGGAATAAATCCCTCCCTGCTAGGCAGGTAGGAAGAGAATGTTTTGTTTCTCTCTGAAAGGCTGGAAGCAGCAGGCTGGCTAAATACTGGAGTGCTGAGAGTGGACAAAGACTCTAGGTTGGTGAAACCACTATTGTTTTGTTTAGTTTAACCCTGAGAGATAGGGAACCTAATGTCAGTTAGTGCTCAGACGAGCTAGGTTTTTGTTTATAAGGTTTTGTGTTACATTTATGTTTTCATTTACTGCTGTATCCTGTGTGGATTTACAAATAAAGTGCCTGGAGTATATGCAATTACAAGGACTGTGCCTATTGTTTACCCTAGAGGACCGTGCTACCTGCAAACAAGGATCACAATACACACACACACACATAGACTGCTGAATACATACACACAGACAGACTGCTGAATACACATACAGACAGACTGCTGAATACACACACGGATTGCTGAATACACACACAGACTGCTGAATACATACACTGTTGAATACACACACACAGTCTGCTGAATACATACACTGCTTAGTGCACACACATACAGACTGCTGAGTACACACACTCACAGACTGCTGAGTACATACACACAATCTGCTGAATACATACACACATACACACACTGCTGAGTACACACACTCACTGCTGAATACACACACACACAGAGACTGCTGAATACACACACACACAGACTGCTGAGTACACACAGACTGCTGAATACACACATACATACTGCATTGAGGGGTGCAGTGTATGTGTTTGTGTGTAAGGGTGTGGAGTGCTGTGTGTGTGTCTGAGGGGTGCTGTGTGTGGGGGGGTGCTGTGTGTGTATGGTGGGTAGGGGTGCTGTGTGTGTGCGAGGTAGGGTTGATGTGCTGTGTGGGGGTAGGGGTTAGGGTGCTGTGCTGTGGGGGTGGTAGGGGTGCTGTGGGTAGGGGTGCTGTGCTGGGGTGGGTGTAGGGGTGCTGTGCTGTGTGGGGGTAGGGGTGCTGTGCTTTGGGGGGTAGGGGGTGCTGTGGGTGGTAGGGTGCTGTGCTCTGGGGGTAGGGTGCTCTGGGATTAGGGGTTCTGTGTGGGATAGGGGTGCTGTGGGGTGCTGTGTAGGGGGTAGGGGTAGGGGTAGGAGTGCTGTGGAGGGTAGGGGTGCTCTGTGGGGGTAGGGTGCTCTGGGGGTAGGGGGTAGGGGTGCTGTGGGTGGTAGGGGTGCTGTGCTCTGGGGGGTAGGGGTGCTCTGGGGTTAGGGGTTCTGTGTGGGATAGGGGTGCTGTAGGGTGCTGTGTAGGGGGTAGGGGTAGGGGTGCTGTGGAGGGGGTAGGGGTGCTGTGCTGTGCTGTGTGGGGTAGGGGTACATTTAAAAAAAAAGTTATATTAATTCTGTATCCCCCCTCCCTTCCTCTTACCTTTGGTGAAGGAGGGGGGACACAGCCATCCCTGGTGGTCCGGTGGTGGTAAGTATTGTAGGAAGCAGCTCCTCTGTCCTCCCGCGCGATGCTGTGTGGAGCGTTGCCATGGTAACGCGCGGCAACGCTCCACACAGCTTGCTCGCAGGAGGATAGGAGAGCTGCTTCCTAGAGCCCTCCCCCTGCCTCCCGACCCGGAAGCAGAGTAGGCGCCTGCCATTTCGGGCAGGCCGGTGCCTACTCTGCAGACAGCCAGTGGCCCCCTCTCCTGGCCACCTATGGCTGTGTGCCCACAGAGAGGGCCTGGCGTGCCACCTGTGGCAGGCGTGCCATAGGTTCGCCATCACTGTCCTAGGACAACTTTACCCAATAT